ACGTTTAAAGCGACATATCAATGACTGCAACCATCGTGTTGTATACAAACCTCGCAAACTTTAAAACACGTTCTCTAGTGATACCTGCGAAAGTATTCAGTATAATTTCCGGTAAGATTTTCGCTGACAATCTGATCGATTTCTCTTACATTGTGTGCTGAGAGGCCCGAGACTGAAACTTTTCACCTCAAGCAAATCTCCGTCGCACGGTCCAAAAAAACATAGCGAGCAACTGAGCTAGTAGTATATGTCCGTGTCAAAACACACGGAAGGACTCTAAAGCACACTTCACTCTGATTGGGCAGAAAAACACAAAGATTTTCTGGCACCAATCAGATGGCAGAACGAATGCGACCGTTTGGAACTTGTCTTGTAAGACAATGTCCCCAGGGGCTCTTCATGCTCTAACTTGAAATCGACCCACAGCCCCTGGGTCTCCGAGGATGGGTTTTAAGCGACACTCCATTGTGTTGACATCTTCTTAGGATCGTTATGTTTTAAGATCAAATTCAAGATCTCTTCAAATACCACTGCACTTGATGATCTTTTACCGCCGAGACGTACTAGGCAGTTACGCAGCAGGGACCATGATCATATATTAGCTAGAGTTCGTACTTCACGTTTTAAATCCACTTTTGTAAATAGATGTCTTTTTAGCATTGTCTGCCATTAATAGTCAGTTGTATTTTCTACCTTAATCTGTTTTAAATTTCATTCCTTGTAAATAATGACACGGTTGATGCATTATTGCTTTTAATAAAGACCATTATTATTATTATTATTATTATCATTATTATTATTATTATTATTATTATCATCATTATTTAATGAAAGAGGAAGGGATGTAGTGTTTGTAAGGTACATAATCTGTGTCATACATAACATAGGTAAGCACGTAATGGAAGTTGGGATTTATCATTAAAGTAGCATGGCAGATGTTTAGATTAGATTTGTGTGTTGTGTCCTTTCTTCGCGAATATCCATTTCCATCGACTGTAGAACGTGACACTCCCGAAGCAAAGAGATGAATGTGGCTTTCCCTATGTTGATTTTTATCGATTTTGTAACAAGAAAGAAAAACTATCCATTGGTTTCTAGGGTCGTTTTTCAACTGATGACTAAATCACGCACGATTCAAGCAATCATCGAAATCACTCTGAGTTGGTATGCAAATATTGTGGTTTAACTCATTGCTATGATGTCTACCCTCTATTTCCGCCCAAAGTGTCTATATAATTTCTGATTTGTTGCTTCTACCGTTTTGCTGTACTTTCCCGTTGCAACGTAAACACTTTAATTTGATAGACCATCTGCAGTTAGGGATAATTTGAAAACACACCTCGTTGAAAAACTTCTTCGCCCTGGACACGTAAAAAAAGCAACTTAATTCAAATATCATTTTGGTTGGATTGCTTGATCGATTTTCCGGTGTGCGATTTTGTTTTTTGCTAGACTCCTCCGGCCGCTGGAGACAGTATCCAAGACAAGTCACAAATTTGATGTTTAACGTGTTTTATAATCGCAAGATTCACAAGGTCTTCGCACAATCACGGTCAATCTAACTCTCTGTTCAATAGATTCGAATTAACAACTTAAAAGGGTGGGCAGGCTCCCAATAGTAAGCACGTGCTTCCGTTGTCACGGGTTACATAATTACGTAATATGTGCCCCAGTCCCCGACAGTTTTCTAAACCATGTTAATGTGGTTGCTCCAGTCGCCACCAGGTGTCGTTTGCTTTATTAATCTGGCTCACTTTAAAAATCGATAATAATTTGACCTTGGTCATTATCATTTTGCATCGATGTTTGGATGAGTGTGTCACGCTAAGGAAAGGGTATTTATAAACGCGTCATTTGGCTTCTGACAGACCTAACACGATAACTGATAACGGAGATAATTGGTTTTTGCGGTTTCCGCGTCTGCACAAATCTACCCTGGTTGTGTCATGTTTTGGGTAGTTTGCAAAAT